CTTGGACCCCCCTCTTGACAATTTCTGTGTGCTGACCCTGAGGCAATACCTCCCAGAAAGTTTCACCACAGTGATACTGGTCTCTTGTTACTTACAGCTGATTTTTCAGCCCCAGCTAACCAGCATCAGTTGTCCCAGTAAAACAAAGGTTTTACTTTAGGTTCTGGTCTCATCTTAATCACAGCTGATTCTTCAACTCCAGCCAACCAGAACCCGCAGATTCTCAATTCAAAATATCACACAACAGCCCTGATAGTCTCCACTTCCTTTTGAAGCTTCACAAGCCAGGCCTCCATTGTCTACAACTCTTTCAGCATAATTTTTCCAAGCTCCACAGCAACAAACTCTGAGCACTCAATGGCTTTTCCAGCACAAGTTCCAAACACTTCCACAATCCACCAAAGTCAGGTCTGTCACAGCAATGCCCCACTCTCTGGTACCAATTTCTGTCTTAGTTTGTTTCTCCATTGCTGTGACAAAATACTCTGACCAGTACCAATATGGGGAGGAAAGGGTTTATTTGTCTTACGTATCCCAGGTCACAGTTCATCAAGGAGCCCAAGGTAGAAACTCAGGGCAGGAACCTGGAGGCAGGAGCTCAAGCACAGGCCATAGAGGAACACTGCTTACTGGCTTGCTCCTCTGGCCCCTGCTCAACCTGCTTTCTTATGCAACACAGGTCTACCTGCCCAGGGGTGACACTACCCACAGTGAGCTGGGCCCTCCCACATCACACAACAATCAAGAAAATACCCCACAGACATGGCCACAGGTCAGTTCAATGGAGGCAGTTTCCCAATTGAGGCTCCCTCAACCCAGGTGTGTCAAGTTGATACTAAAGCTAGCCAGCACAGTATCTTATGTAGATTTTTAGGATACTGCCTCCAAATACTTCCAAATTAGGACATATTTCCCCAATTATAAGCACTAATGAAGAGTTAGGCCCCAGATCTGGAAAGGTGGCTCAGAGGGTAAGAGCACCTGCTACTCTCCCTGAGTTCTGAGACCCACATGGTGGCTCACAATCACCTGTGTCCTGTTGCAGGGGAACTAATGCCTTGTTTTGGCCTCCACCCTCACCTGCATGCATGTGCTGCAGCAACAGACAAGCAGGCACACCTATACACACACACACACACACACACACCCAAAACTACAATGAAAAAAAGCAGAATTAGGCCTGATATTTGCCTGTGAATTGGATGGAATAAAGCTGAAGGCAAGATGTTTTCCACTTGTGTTTTGGATAGTACTGAACACAGCATCCCTAACACCTGCATGTTAGAATGGTTTAACTTTATATTTAAAAAAAAATCAGATTACGGCCAGGCATGGTGGCGCACGCCTTTAATCCCAGCACTCGGGAGGCAGAGGCAGGCGGATCTCTGTGAGTTCAAGGCCAGTCCGGTCTACATAGTGAGTTCCAGGACAGCTGGGGCTACAGGGAGACCCTGTCTCAAAAAGACCTTAAAAAAAAAAAATTCATATTACATGGAGACACTGATGGATTTTTGATGTCAGAGCTGTGACTAGTAAAAACATAAATGGTTTTTCTATAAATCAAACTTACATTTCATAATATGCAGTCTCAATCTTCATAAGATTGAATCGACTTTCTGGAAAGCAAAACTGTAGATTTTCCTGTTATACTAAAGTAAGAATTGGATACATTTTTCTTAGATTGAATTTTTGTATTATATAGAAAACTACTGCAGTTTATGTGCATGAATTTTGAATTAAGGGTCTATTCCATTGGCAGTTGTGCTCAGAGCATCGCTAAAGACATGAAAGAAAAATATGCAGTTCAGAAAGAGAATTAAAATGTCAACTGAAATTATGTATCATACATACGCAAATCTTCACATAGTAAGAAACTGTAACAGTAAAACAACTGGTGAAATATTGAAAAGATGTGATAGTCTGAAACTATTGGATTACATCTTTGTTAAACAAATATCACATTCATAATGGGAACATTGTATAGATTATTTTACAATGTCCATAAATTAAATGGTAACACTGCTTTATCTATTAACATCAGATTTCTTTAAATTCAATTGACATCAAAATAGTTATGCAAAAATGTCTTACTAATACTAGAGAAAATTACAACTACAATATATTGAATTCTGTATTAATCAGATGATGAATTTTGTGGCCCATTATTGAAACATAGTTTTGGCATATTAATCTAAGTACATATTACAAGCATGCAACTACCTAGGTTCATTCCTTCCTTGTTTTTCCTCACTTTAACTATGTTGGAACACAGGATTTCTCTCTCTTTCTCTCTCTCTCTGGAGGGAGAGAGGGAGGGAGGGAGGGAGGGAGGGAGGGAGTATTGCATCAGAGTCTTGCTTGGTAGCTCAGGCTGGCCTCAAACTCACTATGTAGCCCTCCTCCTGCCTCAGGCTTTCTTGCTGAATTCACAGGTGTGTGGCAGCATGCATTTCAAAGCTGCCCTGGGTCTCATGCTCTTTTAAAAGCCCCCCTCTGTCTTGCAAACCAGAAGAAAGTAGTAGTATTTTAATTGGGGACAATGACAAACTGTAGTTACATTTAATATAAATCTAAGCTTGAAATTTAAATCAGATTCCTTAACAGAGATCATTCCCTAATGAAATACTGCCACTTGATCTTGGTATGTAATTTAGTAAGCCAAAGTGAGAAAAAGTGGTTTGTAATTTTAAGAGTCTCACAGAAGCATCATGCACATCAGTGTAATTTTAAGAGTTCCACAGAAGCAGCATCCACACCAGTGTTTCCAAGAATGGGAAGTCAGAGCTGAGGCTACAGTAGTGTTCTATGGAATTTTCTCAGCAGAACTAAAATTAACAGAACACACCTAAGATTCTAATTAAACTGATTATTTTAAAGCCTACAGTATTCGAACAGAACACAGCACCACCAATCTGGGTAAAACCTGTCCTTTTTAAGAGTGTCATTGAAACAAGAAGCATGCTTAGCAAGATTAATTTTTTAATTGGCATGTCTTGTTTGACTGAATTAAGGCAGAATATTTTAAAACAATGTATACAATATATTTGTGAGAGTTTAGGAAATCTGGAAAAGATTAACATGAAGGTTAATAACACTGTTGTATTTTCTTTGGCAAATTTACTTTCATTATCAGAATCATTAAAAATGAGTGATCAGCTATGGGAATATTTTTGCAATTTTCCCTTGAGAAAAGCAGAAAACTATGTTATTAGTAAATCCAGATATACAAAATTCTAAATTAGCTCATTTATACATTACTCAATTTCTGTTTCCAAGTTCTTGACTCAAATTGTTCATTCATCAATTCATTGTACAATTTAAAATATCACTAATTTAGAATTTAAGATAAACTCTTATCTGTTCTGTCCAAAACAGCTTAAAAATAGTCTAGAGAGATTTGAGGCAATCATTAATGTATCAAATTCAGGTTTAAAATAATTGTGTGCTATAGTCTTTAAGTAAAACCTTGATAAACATTGGCGGATTAAACTATCCTTTTGGTGTTGGCAAACTCCAATTCAAAATAAAATTTATACATTTAGTAACTTATTTCTGAACTTTCCATTTGAATGTCATTAAATTTTCTACTATAAAAGATGCATTTAATTTGTGCTTAAGTTATACACATTACTTTTGCATACTGTATTCTAAAATAACTTTCAGTGTCCTAAAAATGGTTGTACAATCTTACTGAAAAAAGCATACAATAATTCAAGTTTCATAGCTTGTAAGTTTGAATACATTTCTGCATTGTTTTTCTGAGTATCTAGTGGCCTTTTTTATCAGTATACATATGAAATGCCTTCCAACACTTGGATCATTATTATTTTGGCTCCCAGATTTTTATGTGAATACTGGCATTAATTTTTTTCTAAAGTAACTGAAAGGTGCAGTGATACAATGTACAGCAATTATCTAGTGCATCATGTTAAAGACTATTTTTAAAATTAAATACAATCCTAAGAAAGTTAATTTTGTCATCAAATGACTTTGCTTTGTTTTAAAATTTTATATGCTTTATTTTGGAAAATTCCACATATCTGATTCTGATTTTTTTCTTAACTACGAAGTTGTAAGAATGTTTTCAATAGCCCATCTGTTTAATTTTAAATCTCACACATTTTACCCATTTTTCCTCTGAACAAAAAACTTTATTTTCCCTGCATCTGTTTGAACACTAAATGATTACATCTATCAGTAATCAAAGCATTGTTTCAAAATTGCCACTTAAAAAAAAAATCAAAGCTATCCTTTTCTCACATGACACAATCACTTCAAATTTCCTACAACCAAAGCTCTTCATCTTCCCACTCCTGAGCAAGTATTCTTCTTTCCCCATCACCTGTAAGAAACCTTTCCTGACTCTGGAGTTAATTCCTTGGCAAGGCTCAAGTATGAGAGTTACCAGTGGAAGTTTCTGTAACTCTTCTTTTAACCCATATAAGGTGTACTCAATCTAAATCAAGATCAGATTGCTATTGATTAACTACAGTTGATTCAGACTGAATATCCTGATGTGTGTTAATGTCTATCCACTGTATCACTATTGCTTTCAAAACTGCCACACCCTTGAACTTTCGCTGTTCTTCCAAAGTGAAGATCCAAATTGCATTCTGATTTGTCATTAAATGGTTCAAAAGTCTCTAAAGAGAATACATAACTCAAAGGCGTATTTCCCCAAAGAGTCTTACATACATTTGCTGTCTTGTCCCACATTATACAGTAAAAGACTATTTTTTAGGATTATAAAAGTTACTGTCTTCTCAGTTATGTTGGTGTTTGTGTTTTACTTCAAACAAGTTTCAAGAATCCGTATAGCTTTTAAAAATTTACCCTTTAGTTTGACCTCAAACAAAAGGTTGTAGGCAAGCTTGTAGGTATGAAATATTATATGTACACACATATATGCATACTTCTATCATGATAAATTTATTTACTGCAATTTGGCATTCATAACACTTAGTTTAAAAAGGTAACAAAATTTAAATCACATCGTGCTTTTTTTTTCAGGATCTAAATGAAAAGGTTTAACTGATCATCGAGGTTTAAGTTTCGGGTTTGAATACTCAAATATTACAAAACACCAAGAAGTTGAAACACCTGAAAAAAGTCCTGTAAACATTAAATGTTAGAGAAAGGCGAGACGTCTATTTTTTTGTTTTGTTTTGTCTTGTCTTTTTTTTAAATAAAAGGGCTGTTTCCATATCTCCAGGCTATCGGTGCTCCTGGTTCCTCCCTGAGAAAATCTACTCCAATAATTTTCTTTAAAAAAAAAAAAAAAATCCAAGCTACAAGATGAATTAAACCTCCTGGTGGTTAAGGTGAAAACAAGACTTGTTAAGATTAACAAACGTCTATGGCCAGGCTGACACACCCGGAAGTGATCTTGATTTTCAACCAAGACTACCTAAGAGCTGCCAATTTGGGTTTAACTCTCTAAAATCTCACTTGGAGCGGGCTCTGAGGACAAAGCCCTTCCCCTTGACCTGTCTTGAGAGTACAACAAATGTGAAGCACAGGGAATTTGCCTTCTTTGTGCAACAGACATGCAGGCCCATGGTGAAGTCTTAAGTAACATGGAAAGAAGCCCAAGCTGGAACTGGGAGAGCTTGCGCTCACCTCTTTAATCAGAACACTGACTGCTCAACCCCTACCCATGCATACAGGTCACTTGCCCAGAACTTGACAAACCAAAGACGCCTGTAACACAAGAATCATCAGATCCCTGGCAAAACCTGATGGCTCTGTGAAGACTCCAGGAAGAAGGAAAGATCAGATGAGACCAACTCTACCGGGTCTTCCTGAGGTGACCCTGAAATTAACGTATTTATTTTCACGCTGCAACTGCTGATCGCTTTACAGAGACATACCATGCTGTAGCTCTGCGTGGAGCTGAGGACAACAGAAATACTTATTAATGTTATAATTATAATTACTCTTGAACAAAGCTATTTTTAAATAACCTGTACAAAGCCCAAAACCGGGCCTAGCGAAAACCGGAGTCCTGTTTTAAATCTTCCAAGGTCCTGCGTTCGTTCAGCGCCTACTCCTACAAGCAAGATCAGCCAGGGTGGAATCGCAGAACTGTAGGTCCACCAGGCAGGTGGTGGCCTTGGCTGGGACTTTGGAACCATTCTGGTTGGGGTAACCTGGGGCTCTCCACCGCGACCCAGTTCCCAGCTTTGTCTCCCCTACCCCTCCCTCTGTTTTAGGGCCGGGCAGCCTGGCTTCACTTTGAAATAGGACATAGGAAGTTCGTCTATCAAGTTTCCTGCCTGCCAGCTGCCTCGGTGGCAGGTTCCCCGGCCATCCGCTGAGGTGCTGGGAAGGTCTTAGGCGCGAGTGCCGGGTGCGCTCATAGGTCCCGTGGGTTCTCCCGCTTAACTCCGGCCTCAGCCACTTTGAGCTTCTTATTTTGGTGTGTTTTGACGTGCTTGGCGAGGTGGTCGCTGCGCATGAAGCGCTTGCCACACTCGGGACAGGCGAAGCGCTTCTCGCCCGTGTGAGTCCGCAGGTGCCGCTGCAGCTCGTCCGAGCGCGTGAAACTCTTGCCGCAGAAGAGCCAGTTGCACACGAAGGGCCGCTCGCCCGTGTGCCAGCGCAGGTGCGCCTTCAGATGCGACGTCTTGCCATACACCTTGCCGCAGCCGGGCACGTGGCACACGTGTTGCTTCTTCTTGCCCGGCTCCGCCTCAGGGGCGCCGCCCGCCGCCTGGCAGTTGGGGCAGCGGCAGCGGCGGCACCTCCTGGCCGTGGCCGCCAGGGGGGCCTTGGTCTGCAGCAGCGCGGCGATCTGACTCTGGTACTGTGCAAAGTCCGACGGGCCCAATACCAGGCCGCGTTGCAGTGCAGCGGCAGCTGCTGCAGCAGCGGCCGCGGAGGCGGGGAAGCGGGGAACATGGGGGCCCCCGGCACAGGAGCTGGAGAGGCTGGACCCCGGAACCCCGGAACCCCCTGGCGCGGCGCCTGACTGCGGGATGCTCCACCAGGGGAGGTCGTCTGGGGCCGGGGTCGGGGAGAGTTGGCGGCAGGTGGGCGGTGGAGGCGGAGGTGGTGGCGGGGACAGCAGGTTGGAGTAGCCCGGGGGCAGAGCGGCCTGCGCGGCGTAGGGCACGTAGGCGGGCGCGCAGCTGGCGGGCAGAGCCGCCATGCTCGAGGGCAACATCTTGACAGGCGAGAACTCGTAGGGATACGAGGGATCCGCTGGGGGCGTGAGCGGGAGCTCGTGCGCAGCCCCGAAGGACGGCTGCAGGTGTGCTTTCTGCGGCGTCAGACCCAGGCTGGGGTGCGGAGGTGGCAGTGCGCCGGGCGAGTGCGCGGGCATGTCGGCTGTCCACGGGTGGAAAAGCCTGGAGGGCGATCCCAGCGCTGGGTCGTAGGGCACCTGCAGGAAGTCCGGCGCCGCCGCCGCGCCCGGCTGGCCGATGCGGCTACAGGTGGCGGCCAGCAGTGCCAGGGGCGAGTGTTTGCCCAGATCCGGGGAGGCGCTGGGGGTGCGGTCCTGCATGGGCGGCGGCGAGAGAGGGCGGAGAAGACACAAAAGGTTAGCACTCTCAGCGCCAACTCGGGGCAGGCCCGCCGCCCCCACACCCGCTATTATACCTCCACCCCTCCTCCGCCCCGCCATCCCTCCCCTGCCACCGCACCCCACGCACGCACCCACGGGTCCTGGGAAACTTTTAGTGCCTGCGCTACCTGGACGCCCGACGCTCGATTGCTTCCTGCTAAACTACTTGGTTGGAAGAGACGCCATCCAGCCTTTAAGGGCTGCGCAAAAGAGGCAAAGGGACCAAAAGGTTCGCACCGGACGCTTCGGTCCGGAAGAGCCTGGGAACACCCACAGCTTGGCAGCGGGGCGGCCCGGCCTCTCATCTTTTAAGCTCTCTCTTTTCATCCCAGCCCTAGCTTTCCTTCTTGATCTGCCCCAGGCTGAAGCCAGCAGGAGGGCCCAGCGGGGTGACCCAGGCCCAGATTTCAGCCACTCCCGCACCTCCGAACCCTCCCCCCTCCAAATCCATGCATCCTTGCCCAAAAGCCACACACACCGTTTAGGTGTGAAGTTGGTGTGGGCGCGCCTAGATCTGACTTGAGTTCACCCGCTACAGACAGAAGGTGTTCGGGGGACAGACCCCGACGCGGCCCTTCCCACCGTCCTTCGTCCCCGCCCCTCTCCAGCCCATCCTGACCTGGAGGAAGGCCTGTAGAGAGTCGTTCCGGAGCACCGCCACAGCGGCCATGGCTACAGCTCGTAGGCCGCTCGTCGCTGAGCGGGACTCTGCCACCGAGGCATGGACACCCGAAGGCGAGGACGAACGGCCGCCCAGCGTGCCTCCAGGTCCTTCCCGCCCGCGCCCCGCTCGCTCGCCCCGCGCGCGGTCTGAGCGCTTCAGGATCACCTCCAAGAATTTGATAAGGGCTTTGCTGGGCCGCCAGCCAGTCAGAGGAAAGATTTATGGCTTTGAAGTTTGCCGCTACCCAATCATCAAAGAATAGCGGCTCTTTCAGAAGCGAAAGCAAATCCTTTGAATCCACAAGGCTCCTATGGTGTGTTTGTTGGTCTGGATAAAAGAACTGATTATTAGGGGGGATGGGAAGGGAGGAGATAAAGGCGGGACAATTAATGAAGTAATCACTATGTGGGAAATGTATATACACAAATAATTGGATTTTCCTGATCAAAGGGCGCCTTGCCGCCTGGAGACTCGCGCTTGGGTTGCTCAAGACACTCAATGTCCCCGCCCCCACTTGCAATTAAAGATTTGCACCAAGGCAGCGCCCAAAGTGACAAAGTGTCTTTGTTATCTGTAGAAAAAAAATCTGCCTTCAGCTTTCAGGCCCGGTACTTTGAGACCGGGATGAGGGTAACTTCCCTGTACTTACTCCACACACGCCCAATGCGGACCAGAGCGAGCTCCGGGGGCGCGGCGTGGGACCTACCGCACCCGCTGGGCCGCGTGTCTGTCCTGCGCCCCTCCCGCCCGCTGGCGGAGCCACTGGCAGGGCTGTGACCCCAGGCGGGGCCAGGCGGCCTCCCAGGGCGGCAGTGGGTGGCGCACACGCTCTAGGGCTGCCCGCCCCGACGAGCGACGAGCGGGGAGCAGGGGACGCGGGGGAAGTGGAGACTCCAGCCAAAGACCTGCAAGTTCTCCTCAGGCTACATACAACTTTTTGCAGAGTGAATGTAGGGAAAAAACACACGCGCCGCTTACTCCAGAACCGAGCTTGGCAGGATTCCAGGACAACCTGGAACATACACTCGACGGGGCTGACCCCCTGCGGACTGTACTTCCAGGGCAAGCAGTCCTGTACATGGAGTAGGGCTGCGCAGGTGTGCTATTTGTTAGGCCTGATCTGGAGTCCCCAACGTCGCTGGTACCCTTTGTACGCATCACCAGGTGCGTGCTGTCACAAGCCGGACAGCTAATCTGGAAAAGTAAGACAAGGGAGGTAACATCCCCGACCCCTAGTGGTTCTACAAACCACAAATCAGGGAGGACATCCCTAAAGGGGAAAGAAACGCCTATGCAAACTCTTGTTTCTGTCATCCTTGGAAAGAAACTAGTTTATCATCCGGCGCAGAGAGCGCTTTGTCGCAGGCACAGAAGTCTTCTCCAGATTATGTCCCTCTCAAAATTTTTTTGGTCGTAGACGCCTGACGGGCAGGGTCAGTCGGCTGCCCGCCTTCCTCCGGCCGGGACGCTGGCATCTGATCCCCTAATAGTTCCTGGAGCCAAAAGAGAATCACTGGAGGGCCCCATGAGGTCCTCACCACATTGGGGGTCTTGAGGGCCAGGCTTGCCTCAGACGTGGGGCAGCGTGGCTTAGGTGGCTGCATAACGAAGTGGGCAGCTTGAGTTAGAAGTAGCCTGGTTCCCACCCGGGCCTCTCAGCCTACCAGATCTTCAATCTTTGAGGTCGTCAGTCCCCGTCCTCCCCCCATCCCCCCAAAGCCCTGAACCAGCTCAGCTCGCACCCAGAGTTTCTGTGCGTCAGGGGACCATGGTGCGAGCAGGACTATTGTTCCAGGGCGGGGTGACCCAGCTCCCAAATTAACGCAAGAGGATAGTCTATCTCCAGCGGCTTCCGAGCCTGCGCTGTATTCGGTATCCTTCGCAAGTCCAAGAGTCGTGACACCATGCCATTAACCCATATTATCCCACGCCCGGGACGCCCAAGCTTAGTAGAAATGACTAACAGGCCGCACACTGACCCACGCCCCAAACTGACAATTCCCTCCTTGTCCCCATCGCACTCTCGCTTCTCTTCGGTGATGTTGGAGTGCTGTGGAAGCGGGAAGGGAAGAGGACTTAGTGGTTTGCACAGGGCCTGACAGACCTTCTCACACTGGTGCAGCGACCAGCCCTGGGACCAGAAAGAAACATTACTTGCGGGCTCATCTGAGACCAGGAAGCCCAGCGGGGACAGCCTCCAAAGCCCTCGGGTTCCTTGGCCATTATTTACTTTCCCTCTTCTTTTGAGCTTTTACAAATAGCAACCCTCCCCCCGCCCCGCCCCAGGCGATGAGGCAAGCTGGAAGCATCTTCGTTAGCTAATTTACCAAAAAGGCAAGAGTCAGTTTACAGGCGTTAACTTCCTTTAAGATGCTTTAGCAATTAAACCACCACCAGTGGTAAACAAGGCGGATAATAGCTCAAATTCTGAAGCCAAGTTTTTCCTTGCCTAGCCGCTGAGAATCTTGGTAAGTTGAGTCTTTGCTTCGCCATCTGTAAAATGCGCTTCCTCTGTAGAGTGCTTGTGGACCTCTGTAGAGTGCTTGTGGAGTCGGTATGTGCAGAGTCTGTAGAACGGTGCACAGTACTCCCCTCTCCCACATTTCTAGAAACTCTCCAGGATTCCAGCCTTCTCAGGTCCCAGCCAAAGTTTGGAGAGAGACTTCGCAGAACTCTTTAACTTCCCTCCCTTTCTATGTAGCTCCAGAAAAAGGAGGGGGGAATCTTCTTAATGAAGTAATGTTTGGAGCGTCCATTAAAAATGCAATGTCTGGAGATCAAAGTACAATATTTATTTTAGAAATTTGTTGCAATCACCAAGAGATACAGGTATCAAGGCCAAATGTCAGTTCCGCTACACAAAGTCCCCGCGCGGGGAAAGAGCGCGTGGCTGCTCTGCCATATTGTACAGACATCAAAGACCTAGCGTGCTGCAAAAGTGCGCTGCCTGGAGGGAGGGAGCCAGTCCGGGAGGGCTGGTGCGCCCCAAACGGCTCCAGGGCTGCGGGGCGGGGGTCAGTTCAAAGAGGTATCCTTGGGGGCGAGTTCACAGGAGGGAAGATTTAATGGGCTTTCCTTTGTTGATGGGTGTATTTGTGCTCCGAGGAATTGGGAATTCCTATGTGGTCCTCCCGCCTGGGGGTGGAGGTGGGGGAGCGGGGAATTGGGAGCAAACTTTCACCACGGCGGGGGCAGGGGGGGCGGGGAGGTTGAATACTAGGCTCTCCCGGCGCGCTAGCGGGCATCCTAGCAGCTCTCTGAGAAGCAGGAGACTGGGAAATTTGTGTCTCAGTTTCTTCGCAGGCTGGCGGGCAGCAAGGGGCCCACAGGGTGCCAACAGCCAGCAGAGGCGGGTAGGTGAACTCGCACCTGCACTTGCGCAAGGGGTCTGACCTGCTCCGCGCTCCCCTTGGCCTTTGGTGTGACTGTTTCGAGCCCCATCTTGTACTTGGCGAGCTTTTACTAACAGCTATCTAGGGCATAAACCCAACCTGACAGTAACTTGTGGATTAAAAAAAAAAATTCCACATTTAGGTCATCTCAATGCAGTCTTACTCCCTTGGCCTTTTATAGCAGTTTTACCCACTGGGTCTGTCCTACCCTCTGCCAAAGCTCTACCTTCTGGTTGCCTGCATTTGCCTGTGCCTGGTTAGTGCAGGACCAGTGGTCCCTGTCGTAGAGGCTCTGGAGGGAGGTAGGGTGGATTTTCCAGTGCTAATGGGCATGGAGCCTCGGGAGGATGGCTGCGCCTTGTTTCAGTCATCTACAGCCCAGCATTTTCAGAGCGGTCCCTGGCGGCCTTTTGAAGTCACACTACAGCAGAAAGCTGCTATTGTTCTCAGATCTCGACATGGAAGGGGATCAAACTTTGCTTCTTCAACTGAAAGATTTTTTTTTTAAGGTGGTGGTGGAGGCGGGGGGAGATACTGCAATCGGAGACTCTCTCAGTTAACCTTAAGGATTTGGAGTGGTTGGTCTTCCTGTTCAAGCTGCAGACCAGATCACAGATGCCCTAACGCTTGCGTCTGACAGAACAGCTCTTTCTTCATCCTTCCCGGTGGGTTCAGTCTCAAGTCATGCTGGGAGCCTGGCTTGGTGACCAAGTTTTTCCCTTCAAGAAAATGTTTCCTCAGCTGAAGACTTCGAGCTAACTTTTGAGTTTAAACTTTCAAATGGATCAGTAATAGATGTAAAACTAGAAATTTCTTTATATCATGGAATTGTCTTGATTTGCAGGTGAGAGAAATAGCATCTGTATGACCTGTCAGATTTGCAGCTTGTTGTGAGTTCCGGAGATGCGCAATAAGTGCTCGAAGTTGTTGGGAGGTAGATTGGAATTGTGTGAGTGGTTGTCCTGTGCCAGTGAACACACAAATACAGAAGGAGCCCAGAGGAGAGAATAGGGGAAGCAAGGAGCTGAGATTGGGAGACCAGGTAGAAGAGACAGGAGTGGAAAGGGAACTCCCCTTTCAGCCAGGGTTTGAACAGTGATGTTTTGGGTCTTTGATTTATTCCTGTGGACCAGAGCTTCTCAAACTAATTCCACTCATGATCCCTGTTCCCCCAAGAAATTGGTATATAATCCAAGGTATATATGTAAAATAAGGATATAAATGAAACACTGATAATAAATCATAAATTTTTTTCAAATAATTTAGTATACATGATTTTTACCAGCTATTAAAGATGAAAACAAATACTAATGAGATGGATGTGTTTATTTTTACATAAAGAATTAAATCTTTGATACTGGAGGACATAGAGCATCTTCAACATTTTTCAGAGTTGATAGATATTTTGATTATATAATTGTTGATGCTGAGAGTGCCACTTCATATAAATATGTAGTCCAAAATGGCAGGAGTATATTTAGAGCCATTGCAGAAATTGTTGGAAATTCTATCCTAATTCAAAGCCAAAATTCATTGAATGACAATTTTTTAATGAAACTCACGTCAGCAGCTCAAACAGCAATTAAGCCTTGTTTTGTTTTGTTTTGTTTTTTTTGAGATAGGGTCTCACTGTAGCCCCAGCTTGCCTGGAACTCACTATGTAGACCAGGCTGACCTTGAACTCACAGAGATCTGCCTGCCTCTGCCTGCCTCTGCCTGCCTTCCAAGTGCTGTGATTAAAGGTAAGCACTACCACATCCCAGCGCCATTATCTTTTTTATAAGAGCAGAAAACTTTGTACAGTAAAAATACTGCAGTTCATAATGTACAATAGTCTCAAATATGACTGAAGTGTTTCAGGCACCATTCGTTTGTATTTCGTGTTGTGAGAGCATGCTCAACATGAAGCATGCATGTTGTATGTTCAGAACCAAGGCTACAGTGAAACTGTGCTTTGCAACATGGGGGAAGCACCACCAGAAGCCCCTCAGATTCATCACACATTTGATTTTGAATTAGTTGTTGGTTTAAAAAAAATTTTTTTAATCTATTTTTACATGTATGAGTGTATTGCCTGCATGTATGTAAGTGCACCCATGTCATGCAGTA